GCTTTGAAGATGTTTCGTTTCTCATTCAAACAAAACGTCTTCAAAAAAATAAGAAGAAAGTCCAGTTCCCTCCTGAAAAAGCACCTTTGGGACAACCAGGAAGAACTGTGCTTTAAGGCCTGTAGAGATTATCAGTCATCCTGGTTGTCCCAAAGGTGCTTTTTCAGGAGGGAACTGGACTTTCTTCTTATTTTTTTGAAGACGTTTTGTTTGAATGAGAAACGAAACATCTTCAAAGCAAAAACAAAGTCCAGTTGCTTCCTGAAAAAAGCATCTTTGAGACAGGCTTTTAAGGTTTTCCAGGAGACTGTCAAAGATGGGGTTAATATCCCCTTGGGGACTGATGGTTCAGAAGGTGGGGGCCACAACAGAAAAGATGCATCTCCGGAGCTGCTAATTGACAGGACCTGGATCATATCTCTTCTACTAGGCTTGATCAGATGGGTAGATAGTTATAATTGGAAAGAGGTGATCTGTCGTAGGCCAACTCGCTGTGCACTTTTGTTCACAGCCAGACAACAGAAACCAGGGAGGAGAAAGGGGTGTGGGGGGGTACAGTTGGAATGTATGAGGGGCCTGGGAGGGAATTGAAGAATTCATGTGCACAGTCTGTGGACTGGGAGAATACCAACACCTCGAGGTCGAACGATGAGAGCCTTCTGAGCCGAGCTGACTGTTTCCCAAAACAAAGGGATTGCACCAGATTGGGGGACAATGGCCCCGATGGGGATTTTATTTATACAGTCTTTCGCACGAAAACTTCAGAACTGGCTTTGCTTCTACTGTGCCTATATCGATCTACCAGTAAAGTTACCCTCTTGGTAAAATAATGTCCCAGGAGTTACTTTTGCTGTATATGCCATCGGGGCAGTCCACATGGCCCCTCAGATAAGATCCTATGGCTTTAATCGGGCTTTAAAAGTCAAATCCATAAGGCAGCAAACTGACAACCAGTGCAACTCCCAGAGCAAAAGTGTGGCTGTGCATTTTCCGCTGGCACAATGCATTTTGTGCCAGCAGAAACTTTGGCGTGCTCTTTAAGGGCGGCTCCAGGTTAGAATACAAACCCATTAGACCACAGAATCTCTGAATATTCCTCCTAGTTCTCAGTATACAATCAGGAGAAATTGCCCAAATAACCGCTGGGCCACCCTTAACCATAATTATTATTATTTCAGAACACCCCCCCCCCCAATTAAGAAAGGGCAGGCAAAAATGATGCTCCCGATCGCATTTCATTACCTTTTTCTTCCTTGCCCATCTCTTCACAGAACAAGAATTTACCTATAGAAAACACCACAGATTGCTTAAGCACCATGGCCAGCGTTTGCAGAGTTATGCTGGAAACCCCGTAAGTACAGCCCTCCCTTCCAGATATCATCATTGTCAAATGCAGGTAGTCCTTGACTTGCAACAGTTCATTTACTGACCGTTTAACATGACGACGGCATTTGGGGGGGTGGGGGAGGCTTATGATTGTTTTTCACACGTCGTAATGTCCCTGAATGTCACGGGATCAAAATTGGGATGCTTGTCAACTGTGATTCATATTTATGACCGTTGCAGCTTCCCGGGGTTCACGCGACGCCCTTTGGCGACCTCCTGACAAGCAAAGTCAGTGGGGAAGCCAGATTCACTTAACAGCTGTGGCAAGAAAGGTCGTAAAATGGGGCAAAATTAACATAGCATCAGAAATGTTGAGCTCAATTGTGGTTGTAAGTGGATTACTTGTACCAATATGCATAGGGTCTAAACCCATGATGGCGAACCCAGTGCCCTCTCTGATGACATGTGAGCTGTCGCCCCAGTTCAGCTCTGCCGCGTATGCACTCACCTCCCACCAGCCAGCTGGTCTTCCGGGCTGGGTGCATGCGGGGGACACACATGCATGCATGTAGTGTTATGGGGAGGCGTATGCAGGGGTGGTGTGCATGGGGGGGTACATGGGGGTGCAGGGTGCATGCATGAGGGGTACGCGCATTGCATTTTGGGGGTTCGAACGTGCATGCTTTGGCCACTCAATCCAGAAAAGGTTAGCCATCACTGGTCTAAACCAACCAGACAGGGAGATGTAGGAATCATTTTTAATTCCTTCGGTTCACAGATAGTTGGCTATACTGACCTGGCCTTGGACTTACTCATAAAGCTAAGTGACATCAGGTCTGGATGGGTAACTCCAGAGATGTCAGCTAGTTTGGGAAGTCAAGAAGTAAAACACCAGAAAAACAGAAGGAGGCTAAGGGCAAACCACTTCCAACATGCTCCCAAGAAAAGCACATGGACCTGTTGAAGAAGTTACTAGATACTTATCTTAACCCAAAGGAGTGTTTACTTTGCAAGTGAGAATTGTTAAACATAGGTAGTCCTCAACTTACGACTGGTCACTTGGCGACAGTCCAAAGTTCTGACAGATCTACCCGGCAGATACTTAACGACCCGGAGTCAAAGTTCTAATGGTTGCATTCATTGTTCATTGCCGTGAGATGAATGTTGAACCAGTGGCCAGTATGAGAAAGTGAGAGTGATAACACCAAATTTAACACAGCAGCTCCCCCTTCACACTTGAGACCTTTTAACACTGAGTCACATGACAACAGGGAGGGAAAATGGCTACTTGGGTCTCATTCGGACATGATCACTTAGGGGTGTACTCACTTTTGTTGCCAGCAGTTTAGACACGAACGGCTGTGTGTTGCGTTATTTGAGGGGACAGCACATTTTTCGCTGTTACACAAGCCATATAGTCATTACTTCACATTGGAGCCAAGTGTCATTTCTTCAGTGTTCTCACATGAGAAGATATACTTAAATGTTTACAAAGTGTGAGGGGGTGTACTCACTTCTGTGATATACTGTATGTAGTGTCACATGAATGCGTTTTGCAATGGCTTTGTTGAAAAATTGGCGTTTACTTCCATTTTTCGGCAAAACCACACCCATATCGAACCATTGGTTTGTGTAGCGACGGTAATCTTTGCTTAACAACCGTGGCATTCACTTAACTGCAGGTGCAAAAAAGGATTGTAAAATCAAATCATGTAGGTTGCATGACTGACCATTGTATGGCTCTCACCAAGTATCGCTGTGATGGTCATAACCTGAGGATTATCTTACACAAAAGGATACAGTCAACTTTGATTTTAACAAATATGGGAGCAACTCTTACATGTTGGCTTTTTATTCCTGGGAAGATTTGGAAGAATCTCTGACGAAAGTTGCCATTACTTTAATATCTTTTATAGCCTAAAATATATGTTTGGTGACTTTCCCCCCTTCCTCCTTCTTGCTTGACAAGGAAGTATTTGAGTAGTATTTTGTAAATTTTCAATTAACGTAAATGAGGGGTTTTTTCCCCAGTTGGTGAAGATCCTCATCATTACGATGAATTTATTGGTACAAGTAAAATTGTAAAACACTGAAAGAAATTAAAATCGGTAAAAGAAGGAAGGTAAAGTCAGCCAATCACTTCGTTCTGGTCTCTGCGCAAACACACACACACACACACACACACACACACACACAGAAATAAACACAAAGCTGCGCTTGTGTTAGCCGGAACCTTTCTAAATTGACAGAATATTGCAGAATGGCAGTCTCCTCCCATCCCTCTCCCAACCGCTGAGGTTGTTGCAACATATATAGAACAAAGGCTGAGGCCAAACCTATTTTCCTTAAATTAGCTTCCTCTTCTCCTCAAAGGAATCCTTTCAGCCAGAAGTTGCTTTTAGGGTAGGAATAGGGGGGGTGGGGGAGATTTGTGGCAGATCTTTTCCCAGCCATTGGAGAGAAGGGGAGAAGGAGAGAAAGGGAAGGAGGGAGATTGAGGGAGAAAGAGAGAGATTGAGGGAGAAAGAGAGAGAGAGATTGAGAGGGAGAGCTTGAGGGAGAAAGAGATTGAGAGAGAAACAGAGATTGAAGGAGAGATTGAGGGAGAAAGAGAGAGATTAAGGGAGAAAGAGATATTGAGGGAGAAAGAGAAATATTGAGGGAGAAAGAGAGAGAGATTGAGAGACACAGAGAGAGAGAGATTGAGGGAGAAAGAGAGATTGAGAGAGAAAGAGAATTGAGGGAGAGATTGAGCGGGAGAGAGAGATTGAGGGAGAAAGAGAGAGATTGAGAGAAAGACATTGAGGGAGAAAGAGATTGAGTGAGAAAGAGATATTGAGGGAGAAAGAAAGATTGAGGGAGAAAGAGAGATTGAGGGAGAAAGAGAGATTGAGGGAGAAAGAGAGAGAGATTGAGGGAGAAAGAGAGATTTCAGCGAGGGGTGGGATTTGCAGATCTGACAAACTGAGCAGAATCTTAGCTAGAGGATTGCCAAAATCCATGTGAACCTGCAGCAGCCCACCCCTGAAATGGAACCATAAAATACATTTTGCCTCTGCCCTGCCTCATCATCAGGTGATGGTGACCTAGGGAGAAATAAAGACTGTTTCCCATTTTCTCCCAGTAGAACTAATCGCGCCCCACTTAAAGAGCAGATGGAGTTACATTCTTCTTAGAGAGATTTTGGCACTTTCAGTTTTAATATTCTCTTACGTTTAGGGGGAAACTCTCCAGTTTATTTCTTGTGGGAATACTGTTAAGTATTTCAACACTGGAGATGCGTTCCAAGGTGTCCGGTAGTTTTCTACATGTTTTCACCTCCTACATAGTTAAAAAAAAAAGTATGAAACTGTCTGTTTTGCCTACAGTACAGTCTGTGTAAAGTTAAAGCCTTTTTAAAAAAAATATGTAAAGGCAGCTTTCTCCTTTAAGAACAATATCAAATTTAAGGAGAGCCAGTGTCGTCTAGTGTTTAAAGCATAAGGCTAGAAACCAGGCGAATGTGATTTCTAGTCTTAGGTATGAAAGCCAACTGGGCAACCTTGAGCTGACCACCAGGAGACTGAGTTCTAGTTCTGCCTTAGACATGAAAGCTGGCTGGGTGATTTGGGCCAACCACTCTCTCTCAGCCTAACCCATCTCACAGGGCTGTTGTGGAAAAAATAGGAGAAAGAAGGAATATTAGACACGTTCTCCATCCTGAGTTGTTTTGAAAAAAATAATAAAAGCAAGATATGAATAAATAAATTTAAAAAATAAAGTTCGGGAGCTGAGCCAGGTCTCATGGAAAGAAAGATTTGATAACAATAGTTGGATGTCATAGTTGATAAGCTTAATTTAAGACTCTTCATAAATGTCCGTCCTACAATCTCTCATGGCAAATGTAGGTCATGTTTTTGGGAAGTTATTGAGCTGAACTCACGTGGTCACTTCATGGCTGCTGCTGTGTTGCAATATTTTCGGGGAGGGCTTATTTTAGCCCATGCACTCAAAAGCCCAATTGGGCTTCTTATCCGGGGAGGTCTTATTTTTGGGGAAACAGGTTATGTTGCTTCAGCTTTTGGTAATCCAATGTTCTTTCAATGTCGTCTGTTGTTTCTCCAGGGAATACAGGAGCAGGTTCACAAACGAGGAGACCGTATCCTTCTGCCTGAGGGTAATGGTGGGTGTTATAATCCTCTACGACCATGTGCATCCAGTGGGTGCTTTTGCAAAAACTTCAAAAATTGATGTAAGTTCTGGGTTTGGATAGTTGAAATGTTCCTTTTCATTGCTGAATGGGTTGGGGGACAGACGGACATTGGGAGGGCACAGAGGGCTAATTATAGATTGGAATGACTATTTAGTCCACGGTATCCAACCTCTAGACAGCATACTAAAAAGCAGAGACATCACCCTGACAACAAAAGTGCGTATAGTCAAGGCTATAGTTTTCTCAGTTGCAATGTATGGCTGTGAAAATTGGACTATAAGAAAGGCTGAGCGCCAAAGAATTGAGGCCTTTGAACTCTGGTGCTGGAGAAGACTCCTGCGAGTCCCTTGGACTGCAAGGCGATCAA